CATCACATTCCGTTTACAATTGGACGAAATGTACTGATGTGACACCAAAGTTCATTTAAAATTTCATCTTACCCCAAAATTATACCTTAAAAATCAATTTACCCCCCATATTAAAAATCAATTTGCCCCCCCAAACTATACTTTAAAAATCAATTTGTCTCCCACATCAGCACATTCCGTCTAATTGTGAACAGAAGGTGACGGCAGGAGTCTAATTGATCAATTTGTGAAAAGTTTAGATACTAAATTGAAATAAATCGAAGTATGGGAGTCAACGTGAAAAACGCGTGATAATTTTAAAAAAAATGATATTTTCTCAAAAAAATTCATGATGGACAATTATGCCGATATGCAAAAACATGTTTTGCCTCGCTAAATCATTCAGGTTAAACCATATCGACGTTTGAGGTTGAGTTACATAACATGATGGATGATGTGAACTGTGATGACCAATTCAATGAAACTAATTACAACAACTGAACAATTCGTAACACGGTCCAGAATTCAAATAGTGAATATGACACAGATCTATTACCCAATTTCTACCGGCAGAATGAAAACTTATTGATGTTATCAAGTTGGGTACCAAGGTTGTTAAAATCGGGATCCTACATTGGATCGTTAGAGGTGTTTATAGGATTGGATCATAGAATCGGATCGAGGATCGTAAGATCCTATTGAAAAAGGCAAATTATATAATAATTTAATTTAAATAAACATTTCTTAAAATGTATACACAAAATAAGCTTATATTCTACTAAAAAGAAGTGAAGATACTGTGAAACATATAATACTCCATGTAAAATGTAAATATAATATTACATAATAGAAAACTTGATGATAAAAGTTTTGCATTCATTAAAAAAGAAGGTGAAGAAGAAGAATTTTATAACATAATACTTACAATATGCATAAAAAGTGAAGAAACAATATTTAACATAGTCGAATATGAAAATAAATTGAGAAGTTAAAAGAGCGGCTTAACTGAATGATAAGGTTTGTTATTAGCATCCCTTATAGAGCGGGTTCAAGTCACGAAAATTGTCTCTCCAAAAATTAGGGTAAAATTGCAATCATTTTACCCTCCTTAGACACCACTAAAGCTAAGTTTGTTTTCTTAACTACTTAGTTTTCTTAAATTGGTATTATATTTTTTTTGGTGAATAAAATTGATATTATATTAAATGTTTGTTTCCTAGTTTGTTTATTAAATTCAAACTATTTTTTTTTTAATATTAATTTGGAGTACATAAATTGATATTTAGATAACAAATATAAAATTTACAATAAAATAGATTATACAATATAAAACAAGGCTTATAAATTGGATCAGATAGGATCGGACTTGGATCGGGATTTCACGATCCTATAAGATCCCATTACCAGGATCAAAAGATCCTATCTATAAGGGATTTTTTACACAATCCGGATCGATTGTGCCCAAATGGATCATAAGATCATAGGATCGTAAGATCCGGATCAAGATTCTAATAACCATGTTGGGCACATAGTTTTACTCACATGGATCAAAGTTTTCAAGAGAGTGCTGCTGAGTTACCCTAAAAACAATGATTATATATAACATTATATTAACTTTAAATCAAACAAATCCCACACATTAAAGAGGTGTTTCGGAAAAGGGTTACGATTAAATAACTCATTAAAAGAAAATAGATTAAAATAATTAATAAAATATAATGTTACATTTAATTTACAATTTTTTTTTCTAACAATTATCAAATTAAAAAGTTGTTTTGGAAAGTATTAGATTAGTATATTTTTAAATTTTTTACTAAAAAATGTAAAATATAAATTGAATTTAAAATGATGTGGTAGAGAAATAATATGACATAAATAAAATAAGAATAATGTTATATACACCAATTAGTGTATTAACTAATGTAACAATTGATGATGTAACATAATTTAAGATGTTTTTTATATTTGTAATTTATATAATGAGTATGGTCAATAATAATATCATAACTAATATTGATACGAGTGCTGCTATTAGCACCTATCAAAATTCTTTGGACCCCCCATTTCTTTGGACCCTAATCCTAAATCCTAAATTTTAATAATATTTTTTTGGACACCCCACTTATTACCAAATCTACACATATTCATAATATTTTCACAATGAAATGCACACCCACCTAATTTTTCATCCCCTTCCTTCCCTGACTCACTCAATCTTCAAAGTTTGAAGCTTTGGTCCAGTACAGTTCCTCCGACCTCCCCATTGCGTAAGTATGGTAATTCACTCTCATACCCTTCTTCACTACTGTCCCATCTGGCAACACATCATTCTTTAAAGCTTGATTTCCGTCAATGGGGATGGGTGGGTAGAGTCTCCTGGTCTGGCTCAGCGATGCGTGTGTGTAAACCATGTCTTTTACTTCTTCGTAGATCGGAGCTTCGGATTTCTCATTGATTTTTTTGAGAATCTCAGTTTCTACATCTGGGTTTTTAGAGACAAGCCAGAAGAACCAGATTAAAGCTTTCATCTAAATGTCCTGAATTCAAGAATCTCGATAGGAGATCAACAGATTCGAGTGATGATTTTGAATTTGTTCACCACTGTTTAGCCAAAAAAATGTATTTTGTTCAGAACTGTTTTGTCAAACAATAATGATCCTGTCAGCACTGTATGTCCAAACAAAATTTGTTCATCACTGTGTAACTTGAATCCATTCCAATTCACAACTTAAAATAACATGAATTAAATCCATTCAAAATACATAACTTAAATCCATTGCAATTCACTCTTTTCCATTTTAAGTTAGTTTAACAAAGAAAATTACATAACTGACTATCTGCATTAATGTTCGGAACCTATGTATTGAACGAAAGGATTATGTTCAGTACTGTATTACCGAACATAATTCTAACAGTCAGCAAACCAGTACCGAACAGCTCGAATGAAACAAGAACGGCCGAAAACGACCGAGAATGTTAATACAAGACAGATAAACTTATTAATGGAACGCTGGTCTCACTAGAATTGTTGTCATCGTCCTCCATTGCTCTACACAGTAAAATAAGTGATGAAGTATACGTTATACTTGAAGCAAAACTTTCAAGTTCAATAGCGTTGATGATGGTGATGAAGATGACACATTCAGGATTTAAGATGATTATGAAAAATAATAGATTTAGGGTTTATATTAGTTGGTTATGAAAAATAATAGGTTTAGGGTTTACAAACATGGAACACGTATAGTTGGAGTTGGAGGTAGGGGTAGGGATGGGTGTCCAATATTATAGAGTAATAGTTCTTATTGATAGGTGGGTGTTCCATTTAATAATGTCTTTTAATGTAATTTTACTTCAGGGTATAATTGTAATAAAAAAAAATTATAAAATGGGGGTCCAAAGAATTTTGGCAGGTGCTAATAACAACACTCTATTGATACACTAATTAGTATATTAATAGATGCATAGCACTACCGATAAAATAATTATGACCCAAATATGATAATGGCAGTGTTTGGCAAGTTGGTTTTTGGGTTTTTTTTATTTTTTTCACTACAAGACAAATATTTTACAAAACCAAAAAAAATCAATCCAAACAAAATATCACGTCAAACCCTATAATCATTTCACTTTTTCTCTTACAAACATCACATCTAACCACAAAAAAACCCAACTATCTTCCCTATTTTCCAAAAAAAAAAAAAAAAAAAAAATCTCCAATAATATCTTACAACTAAAAAAACTCACTTCCCAAACACCCACAATATGTTAAAATAGCACAAATAAAGGCCAACTAAAAATAAATAAATAAATAAATAATCAATCAACTTTCTAAATACAATTATTTAACCAAATTAAAATAGTAAAAAAAAAGGATAAATTATAAACATACCCCTTGAGATTTATTTAAATTACAAATTATCTCTTGTAATTTTAGAAATTACATTATACCCCTAAGATTTCTAATTTCATAATAAATAGGTCATTTTATTAATAAAACATCAAATTAATTAACAGTTTTTAATAATATTAAAATTTTATTTCAATTAATAATTCAGATAATTTTATTACTGTATAGGTGAACAGTTGAAAATTTCACTTTTTTAATTAATTTTGTTAAATAAAAAATTATGATAAAAAAATATTTATAATTTCTCCAAACACAGGACAATTCGTATTTTAAAGAAATCAGTATTTATAATTTACCAAAAAAAAATTAAATAGCCAAGTTTCCAAAAAGGCCAAAATATCCATCCATCCATACAGCCCCTGAAGCTTTCTGTCTCTAGTGTGTGTCCTAAAAGGAAAAGTCCTTCACTTGGACTTGGAAACCATGGCCGGAATCCGCCGCCTGAAAGCCTCCGCCGCCGCACTCAGCCACCTGAAAGCGGTGGCAGCGCCTCCTCTTATGCAGCTTTTTCTTCGACTCGTCACCACTCGATCCTACGGGGCGGCGGCGCAACCACAGCAACAGCATCGCCTGTAACTAAAACTCGAAAACTACTTGTTCAGAATTCGAAAATTTTCTCCATTAGAACAGAAAAACAGAAGTGTATAGCAGAGAAAAAAAAAGAGATCGAAGGAGAAAGACAGATGTAGAGAGAGGATTGTACTCCGACAATTATTTTTTGTTTAGATCTACTCAGATCTGATGTAGATTTGAGTAGATCTACATTAGATCTAAGTAGATCCACTCATCTTTTTCGTCGGAAATATATATCTTCGCCGTTGGTGAGAGTGAAATCACGAGTTGATTTCGATGGTTGGCGGTTATCAGTGAACCCCGATCAATAGAGAAAGACATGAACACTTGCACCATCGTCTATGACGAAGACGATGAGAGAAAAATGTAGAAAAAAAGAGAAAGAAGAAAACGTAAAAAGGGAGGAAAAAACCATAGAGATGGAAGAAATGACTTTTAAGTGTACTAAAAAAGTTATAAGATTAAATGGTGTCCACATGTTCCACATGGGACCTGTGGGTAATTTCCCCAAAATTAAATAGCCAAGTTTCCAAAAAGGCCAAAATATCCATCCATCCATCCCCTGAACCTTTCTGTCTCTAGTGTGTGTCCTGAAAGGAAAAGTCCTTCACTTGGACTTGGAAACCATGGCCGGAATCTGCCGCCTGAAAGCCTCCGCCGCCGCACTCAGCCACCTGAAAGCGGTGGCAGCGCCTCCTCTTATGCAGCTTTTTCTTCGACTCGTCACCACTCGATCCTACGGCGCGGCGGCGCAACCACAGCCACAGCAACAGCAACAGCTGGAGCACGATTACTACGAAGCAGAGTCAAATTCAGGGGGGTTGGCGCCAATGGTGGATTTGGATTTGGATTCGGATGGGTCGTTGTGGATGAGAGGAGTGCAGTGGGTGTTCATTGGCAATCCAGGTGCAAAGAAGCACGTCTATGCCGATAAGCTCTCTAAGCTTCTTCAAGTTCCTCACATTTCCATGGCATCCCTCGTTCGTCAAGACCTCTCCCCTCGTTCCCCTCTCTACCAAGAAGTTTGTTTACTCCTCTCTTTCTCTCTCACTTCTCAATAATCAATTCTCTGTTTGTTCAATTGAAAATCTCATCAAAACAATTTATTATAATTTAGTGTTGGATTGATATACGTTTTTCGATGATCAAGAATCAATGATTTAGTTATAATTCATAACATCTTTGATTTCGTGTTTAATTATGACATTTTTGGTTTAGAAATATGGGGTTATGCTATTATACGGTGCATACTACTCTATACATTTTATGAGAGGATTTCTTGGTCTTTTTTGGAGGACAGAGATAGAGAGGACGGTTTTGGTTTTGACGAGCTTCTATTTGCACACCACCACTACCAAAATTTTCAATTCACAACCATTTTCTTGTTGGGATATCAACTACCAAACCAAAACAAAACCCAATTTGGTGGTTGATGTCCAACAATTAAGTTCCCATGGTTTTGATTTACATTCCTTTTTCGTCTACTTAAAAAGTATATATATATATATATATATTTGGTAATTTTAAGTGCTGAAAAATATACTTTGAGTGACTATGTCTTCTAGTATGGTTCCAGATATATGACCATATTGTTTCTAGCTGTCGTCGCCATAATTTATTTATCAAAACCCTCAAATCAAGTCAACAAGCCTCATATCCCAATTATGGAAGATAAAGTTGATACTTGAAAATAGTGATTGCTAGGTTTCAAGTTTGTAAGTTTGCAAAATATTGGGGTACCTCAATAATTGTGTGCCGAATTACAGTGGTAAATGGCATTTAGTCGTTGATACTTGTTTATTGAATAACCACCTTTTCTAAGATAAATTCTCCCACCCTACTGTTAGGCTCAGCAAATTGCTTCATTTATAGGATGGCTGGAGACATTTTGGAATTCTGTTTGATAATTTTTAGATTTGTATTTGATAGAAATATGGTTTTGTGGATAAATATCTGTACTTCCAAAGAAACACGCTTTGTTTCTTGGCTGCCTCCATTCTTTATGGGCCTACCCTTTGATTGCATCATAGCTTTCTAATCATAAGACAGACATTAAGAACTTGTTGATTTTAACACTTCTGGTGCAACAGAGTTACGATCTCGTGCTTACTTAGTTCATGTTTTTTAGATTGCAAATTCGGTGAACCAGGGGAAACTTGTTCCAGAAGAGATCATTTTTGGGCTATTGTCAAAGAGGCTGGAAGATGGGTATTACAAAGGAGAAACTGGATTTATTCTTGATGGAATTCCTCGTACACAAATCCAAGCTGTAAGCCAAAAGTCCTTGATGTTAAAAAAAATTTTGTTTTGTATAAATCAACCAAGACTCCATTTAGTTGCCATTGCCTCTGTTTGGTTGCTCAGATGATAGGAGAAGAAAACTGGTTAAGTGAAGATTAAGAAATCCCAACCATTGATCATCTTGGATTGAATGATAAAACTATACGCTCAACTAAGCCTAGTTCAAGTTTTTGGCTTTGTGGAATGTGAGTTATTTAACATTTTTACATTTAAACAAGTTTCACATTTTATATTTCTTTACCTTGAGCAACCAAATAACATTATTGACTGCATAAATATCTAGGAGTAGGCTGTGGCTGATTTTGTGGGAAGAGAAGAGAAAGGAAAGAAATATAGTAGGACAAAAAAAAAAGAAGAGAAGTAGGAGGGAGTCTATTTTTTTCTTTTTTTTTTTGGTGTTTCGTTTTGTAAAAGATAAAAATAAAAATAAATGCATTGGAAGTTAAAATGAAAAATATTAGTTTGGTTGTTTGTACAAAGTAAGAGAGCAAATTGGTGGACTAAGATAAATTTTTTTATTTTTATTTTCTCAGTTTCATTTACTTCCTCTGCTCACTTTGGGAACTAAACAAGTCAAAAGAAGAAGTGAATTAAGAAATTTCTGTTCCTTTCTAGCTTTCCCTAACAACCAAACATAATGTTAATTGAATGCCACAAGGCCAATGCATAAAACACTTTTTGGGCAAAATTGCTAAGCACATTGTTCTGTTTTGTTTTCAACTTTAAAAGAGAGCTAAACTTATCAGCTTAAGGATTTTCACAGAGTCAGCATAATTATTAAGATGCTGTTTGACAATGTTGTCTTTGCCTATTTAGAGGGTACAAATGTGATGGAAAATTATACTTTTATAATAATGAATCTGCTTTGTATTTACAGGAGATCCTTGACAAACTTATTGATATTGATCTGGTTGTGAATTTTAAATGCACCAAGGATTGCTTGCTGGAACACCATGGAGATAGCATCTTTTCCCATCCTCATCAATCTGATCATTTCAGCAGCTCTGCTTCTGCAACTCTTGATATGGCCTCGCAGGACACACGATCAAAATATTCCTTTTGTAATACAGAAAGTGCCTGGAAAGGAAAAGCTCATTTCTATGCCAAGCAGGTATTCCAAAAATCTCAAATGCCTTTCCTTCTAATCAAAAGATTTTAGTACGATTCACTTTTATGTTTAGCTCTGTTATAATATTTAGTTCAGCATAGTGTCGTCCCTTTCCCCCAGTTTTACTAATCTAAAAAATAAAAAAAATAAAAAATCCCCCAGTTTTGAATTTTTCCTCGACTATTTAGCCCATAATAACTGACATATTTCATTTTACTAGGATTCAGTAATATAATATCCTTTAATTTGAGGTAGTAAGATAATCTGGAAAGTCTATTTAGTATTTACTATTTTCAATTCATCATCGTTGAGAAATATTCTTGTTCTTTTGTATCTTTTTGATGGCTTTTCTATGACATCTGTGTTATCTTTTCAAGGTATGATGCAATAGTTAAGCTAAGTTTTGGAGAATGTATTCAAAAAGAAAAATCTAGATTTGGAGAACATATTGCATGTTTTCAGTATTCTCACTACATTTTAGTATCCTGAACTGGCATTTCCTGTCTTTGTTAGAGATGGAGTGTTGGTATAGCCATCTCCCCTTACTTTGGACCAATAAATTTGTTGTTGAATATGTGCCCCCACTGGAAGTGGTCACTTTTGAAATAGAATTTCACACTTTTCTCTTCATGACTTCTTGTAACTGTCCCTCAACCATTACTTTCCTTCTGATGAAATTTCTGAATGCTACATGCAGAATGATTTGCTTCTGTTGATATATTCTAGCAAAGTTTAATTCAAGAAGTTGAGTGTTCTTTACTTAAATAGGGGAACCCCTTCCGATATAGGAATTCTTTTATTTTTTTCCTTTTTTTGGTACAAAGAAATTCTTTTATAATTAATTCATTTGCCCTAGAAGATAAGGAATTGGCACCAGAATGAGATCTTAATCTCAAAATAGAAGGGGAATATGGTGAAGGTGTTAGATACTGTGGCCTTAATTGGAAGCTATCAAGTTTCTAAAGAAAAGAAAAGAAAAGGAAAAAAAAAAAAAAAAAGAGGTTGTATCCAGTGCACGAGGACTCCCGCTTACAAGAGGGATTTGGAGAGGTAGTAAAATATGGATAAAGCCCGAAAAAATTGGGTTGCTAACTATGAAGCACAGATACTTCAAATAGGCACCGTAGTGGTGTTGGACCCGGGGACACATATGTCCCTTTAATTTTATTATTTTTTTGCCAGGGACACGCGTGTCCAAATCTAGACACATCAAGGGACATGGCTGGGGTATTTTTTTTTTTTTTTTAAATTTTTGTAAATGTATTTTGGGTGTAAAATTAAGAAAGTAAAAAAAGAATATTGTTGAGGCTCTTAGAATTTATAATATCTTTTTTTGTGAATGGATAATCTATTAATTTGTTTAAATGTAGTGGTTTTTATATATATTGAATTAATGTTAGTTTTATTAATTTTGATTGTTTGGTAATATAATATTAATCTACATAGAAAATATATATTAAAATAATAATAATAAATTTTGCTTTGTCTCCCGCCGTGTCCTTGTTCCCATTTTTTTGAAATGACCGTGTCTAGTGTCCTTGCTTCATAGGTTGCTAACTCATCAAATGGAAGCTCTTGTGCTGTTGTATTATATTTGATCTCTCTCTGTCTCTCAACTTTATTGATCTTTTTAACATCCATATAAGGAAACAATTGTTGCTTTCAGATTCTCTTATTTCTCTTGGATTCCCTATTGGATTAATGCCCTTGAATCCGTGAGGTTATATTGTTAGGCTGGGACCTTGAATTAGTTGTCTTGTTATTCTTGTAGAAGAATATTATCTGATGGGTAGAAGGGAAAATGGGAGCCTAGACACTGTTTTCAATGGTTGAAAGTTTACACTTGATTCAATGACCAATTCTGTACTCCTCCAGTGTGATGGAAAAGTTATGTTTTTCTTTTTCTTTTTTTTCGCTTCAGGGGCATATTTCTAGGAAATAGGCTGGCTTGTCCATGCCTCATGGAGTATATTTTATAATACATTCATGATGATAACTTACTGTTTCGATAGTGCATGTTTCTGTTTCCATTGAAACCAAAAAACCAAAAACAAATTGAGCAGTTGCCCATTAAAATCTCTAGTCTATTACATTCTCTGAAAGTTATCAATTTTGCTGATTTTACACTTGTTGACTTGAAAGCGTGTGTAAATCACAAGATTTGTGTCCTGTTATTTGGCATAGTGTGTACTATTTTTCATATGAATTTATCACCATGTAAATTTTGACTCTTTTATTTTCCTTTGTCATTTATGTAACCATATTTCCTTGTTTTAAATCATACTTTTCCAGTTGTTTGTGAATAGTTCTTTACTATTTGGTCCAACATAAATGTCACACATGCATTTTAATTTTATTCCACTGGAATAACAGTATTACCCGAGCAAATTTATTAGGTTCTTGGTTTCATTTTTTAAATTGCATATACTGTTTACATGTATCTCTTAAAAGTAAAGTTTATGGTTTGTCAATTAAAACTTTCTTTCAGATGAAGCCAGTAGAAGATTACTACAAGAAACAGAAGAAACTGATTGATTTTCAAGTAGGCAGTGCACCTAGAGAGACCTGGCAAGGGCTTTTGGCTACACTACATCTCCAGCATATTAATGCTGCCCATTCTAGATTGACTTCTGGATCAAATTGGCTGTGATCTCCGAATGACCTTTCTGCTGCCCTTCAGGCTTTGACATTGCTGTAAATATGAATATTGCAAATAGAAGAGTTATCACCAAAGTTCCTTGGCATATTAGTATAATCCTACCTTTTCTTTTTGTTTTCTGCGAGGGGGGTACGGGTTGTATAAGATGAAGATCCAAGCCTTCCCCTTGTCTCCTGTAAGAGATCTTTGACAATGCAAGCGTGTAATATAGCTTTGGCAATTAGACTTTGCAACTTGCTAGTTTCCTGTATTAATTCAAGTCATAGTTGTTAGAATCTTACGATTTACAATACGATTTGATACAAGTTTTAAGCAAAATAATTCGATTCATACAAATGAATCTTAAATTGAGTGAATCTTACATTTCAATTGTGATTCACTACAATTTATTGCAGGAAAAGAATTGAAGCTAATATTTCCCCCACCCCGTACCCTGGAGTTATTTTCCATGCCAGAACTTGCACCACAGAATTTGATAGCAGTGTGACAGTACAAAAAAGATATATGGGAACCCTAGCTATGATGGAACCATAGCTCAGTAAGATTTTCTTCAGATTGGTCCAAGTGATTATGTTGGAAACAGGTAAAGAGGGTTTAATGAAGGGGAAATATAGCATCAGTGATATTTTAAAAAATTTATTATAATTTAATGGTAAATTTTATATACATTTATAATTAAAACCTTAACATTTTTCATGAATTGTAATTATTTTTTCAAACTACCACTAATATTTATTTTTTCCCTTCAGTGAACGCCTCATATGGGTTTAGAAAAGGAATCTTATGCTCAGTTTGATTGGTTGGAAAATATTTTTTAATCAATTTTATTTTTTCTAGAAAATATTTTCTGAAATGTTTTGTTTTTTTCTATTTTGGGTGGTGGTGGTGGTAGGTGAAGGTGGAAGTGGTGGCGTGGTGGTGGGGTGGCAGCAACGGTGATGATAATGGTGGTGGTGGTGATGGTGGCAGTGACCGTGGTAATGGTGGTGTGGTGGTGAAAGTAAGAGTGTGATTATGGCTTATTTTGGCAACATAGTTTTTAGCCACTTTTTTTGGTTAGTAGCAAAAGCCAAAAGTTGGCTTTTTTGGTTTTTTTTTCATTTGGGAAGTTGGTTTTTAGCCAACGGTGAAATTACAATTTTACCCCTCATGGGTCAAAATGTGTTACATAGGTGAAATTGTAAATATTTTAAATAAATGGGGGTAGTTTGATCATTTTATTATGATTTGACATCATAAACAAATATTAATCAAAAAAGTCAAAAGTCACTTTTTACCAACTTCCCAAATATCGCATCCGTGATATTTTAAAAAATTTATTATAATTTAATGGTAAATTTTATATATATTTATAATTAAAACCTTAACATTTTTTATGAATTTGTAATTATTTTTTCAAACTACCACTAATATTTATTTTTTCCCTTCAGTGAACGCCTCATATGGGTTTAGAAAAGGAATCTTATGCTCAGTTTGATTGGTTGGAAAATATTTTTTAATCAATTTTATTTTTTCTAGAAAATATTTTCTGAAATGTTTTGTTTTTTTCTATTTTGGGTGGTGGTGGTGGTAGGTGAAGGTGGAAGTGGTGGCGTGGTGGTGGGGTGGCAGCAACGGTGATGATAATGGTGGTGGTGGTGATGGTGGCAGTGACCGTGGTAATGGTGGTGTGGTGGTGAAAGTAAGAGTGATGATGGTAGTGTGGTGACATTCAGCGATGGAGCCACCTAAGGACGAGGGGTCACGTGCCCCGAAAGTTCTGATAATTATACTATTATCTCTATGAATAAAGATTGAAACCCCCTTTCTCCCACCCCTTTTGACTCTCTTTATTTTTTGATTGGTCACTTTTTCTTTTTCTTTTTTTTCTCCTCCTCCAATCACCACCCGCCATGTGTGTGTGAGGGGGTGGTGGGGGTTGAAGTTTGAGGGGGTTTAAATCACTGCTGTATCTTTATACATAAAAATTATGTATTGTTAATCAGAAATAAAATTATAATAGTGCCCCTCCATAAATCATGTAAAATTCTTTGTATTTTTAAATTTTTTAAAATGTTCTATTCTATTTTTTGGTCATTCTTGTAAGTAAAGCAAGAATTTAATCAATTGATAATTTATTACCCATTATTGAGTTCGTTTAGTTGGTTATTTCTTTCAGTTGAGTTGATAGTGTTGGACTTATAGATTGTAATTTCAGTTCTTTGTTTATCTTCTTGTCGGGTTAATAGAATTTAGTTGATGTAAATCAATCTCATGAGTCATGATAATTGTAGATCTCACCGATTGAGAAAAAATAAAATAATGTATGAATTTAATAATACCTCGTTATTGGGAGAAAAAATTCAATGTTGTGATTAATTTGTGCCTCTTCTACGTTAAATTTCTAGTTTCGCTACTAGTAACATTGGTAAGACTTTAATTTATAAAACGTTTTCAGCCTTTTAAAAATAGAAAACATTTTTTGCTTAAATAGGTTTGCTTTTCATTGATCATTAAAAATATTTTTCGTTTGACTTTTTTTATTCATTATACCAAATGCAATATATATATATATATATATAGAAAATATTCTGTCCAAATAAATGGAACGTTAGTGACAAGAACTTTACTCTTCAGAGGTACTTTGGTTCTGCTACAACCATATATCCCAACTTCGCAGATCAAGAAATAATACCAGTCACAAGAGTACATGCTCTAAAAGAACATAAGTGTCATACACATAAGTTTATCTAAAGGCTCAATGACATAGAAAATTTACAGAAACTTATCACTCACCTTTTGATCTTTGTCAGGACTAATAGACATGCATACAAAATACACATACATTACAATTTCCAACAACAAAACTATAGGCAAAGTGTGTGAAAGCTAGAAATATTGAGGCACGTATCACTGAGAACAACTTTATGAAGGTGACTGTGCCCCGGATCTTTGGTCACCATCAACAGTTGCCTCCTGCAGTTGAGCTGCATACTGTAAGTTCCAGAGTACATCCTCGAAAGACGGAGGAGATGAATCCGGAGAAATGCACTTCTTCGCTATGCAGATAACGATTGACAGCGATTCTTGTGAACAAGTAGCCAGTACGAGTGGATCCACGATCTCCCTTTGGCCATCTGGGCTGCTGAAGGACACCTACAAAGTGCATAAAGCAGTTGCAGGATTTGTCGCATCAATAACAAACCTGCTAAACTGATCTCTATAGATATTAATGAAAGTTGGGAAGACAAGCTAAGAGGGCCTGGGAAAAGCTTTTTATCACCATTTGTAAAAATCAAAGGCGTCATGAGAAAATGCAGGTAGGGCTATAAAACGAATCAAGCTAATTGAACTTGGATTCTTTACATAACAAGCCAAACTTGAATACATTTTAGAATTTTTTTTCTTTCTTTTGAGCTCGGCTTGAAATCTAAACAAGTCAGGTGTTACTTGTAAATATGATGTTCATCAAAATGATGAGATTCAGTGAATACCATTTCATTTAGCAAAAACGCCTCCCTCCTTGCAGATATGGTTGGCCCAATAATTGACTCAAGTAATATGAATCCAAAGCTATAAACATCATCCTCTAACGATTTCATTTGCCTGCAAAAGATTGGGTAATCACAATTACACATTTATGAATACATACAGCTACTAATGCACTCAACTTGCAAAAAAGAAAAAAGAAAAAAAGAAAAAGAAAACTTGCTTGCCAAGATTCATCTCTTCCTTGACATAATAAGGGCAGGGAAGCCAGTGCATGAGACTAGTGAGGACTGTGAAGGGTCATATGTTTGCAGTCTTACTTGCCACATGCAAAGAGACTTGTTTCTGTATTTTTAACCCATGCTCCACATCATCCCTCTTCCTTAACATATAGATTTCAATTTCTAGTTTCTGTATTTTGAAAAGCTACATTTTTTACCCTACAGTTTCTAAGAAGTTTTTCAAAATTACCCAACAGAGAGCTTGGAAAATACTAAAATTTACCCATCTTTTAAAAATTATTTTGAATTTGCCCATCTGCTGTTTTTATTGTCCTTTGATTTTAACTCTTGATTTTTATTTCAATCTCCTTCATCAAATAGTAAAGAATTCTGTGTACTTGCTCTCACCAGACAACATTTTTGGTTCCGCCCCTGTTTCCAGTTAGTCCAATGGATCTTCCATTTTGTTGAAAATAAGGTTTTTAATCAAAGAAAGAGCTTACCATGATTTAAGAAAATCTTCCTTTGCCTACAAAACCAAGAAATTGAGTGATGTCAGTTAGGGAGTAAGGACAAAAAGATTTATTGCAAGGCCAAACCAAACCAATCTACATACAATGGGAGAGAGACATACCTCACGTTTATCAACTTCTGCAAACATAGAGAGGCCATAGTCACTCAGCTTTGCCATATGATGCTCATTCAGCAGTATATTATTAGCTTTCAATCGGTTGTTAAAGAAACTGGGAATTATTCCAGTATGTAGGAAGTGCACTGCCTTTGCAACACCGATTAGAGCTGCCAATCTGTCCGACCAATTGAGGGCCTTTTCTGGACTATTCTCTACATAGGCAATTTGCAAAACAATTTAGATTCCAAGCGAAAATCTGACCTAACTCATAAACTGAGGTTCATGGCTCCTATCCCATTAATCAAACTTCAGTTTTTCAGGTTTCTGCTTTTGTCACAAGGAGGTTTCGTTGCATTTCATGGTTTTGGAAACTGTCATCAAATTATCAGTCGCGCAAATGTGTAATTTGCAGAAAGATGGGAGATACATTGTCTGATTCATTCATACATCAGTGATCAAATATCACCAAAATGTAAATATATGGTTGTTATGCTTCATTCTTTAGTTTTCTTGTTTGGTTCCTGAGAATCTGATATGATTATTGCCATGCTTATAACCTGCTTTCTGCTCAAACAATGACTACTACATAACAACCTCTACTATAAACTTTTTCCTTTCTTGTGCAATTCTCACAACATTTCAAAGCTGATAAGCATTCAATCATCAACACCATTTAAAAGCAGAGTGATAGGAAAAAACATAACAAAAAAGAGACTACTTGTTTTTGGATAATTTATATGAATATTCTGATGGTTCACTGTCGCTGATTTGATGTTTTAAGCTTACCTGAGAGATGTGTGCGATAATCCCCATTGGGCACATATTCATATATAAGATAGACTTGGCTTGCATTAGATTCGTTGTGTCGACTAACATCAATGCAGTGGCCCAAGAGGCAAACCAAATGTGGGTGCCGAAGCTTTGCAATCATTTCCAATCTGAGTTTAAGATTTCGGATTGTGTATCTTCTTGACAAAGTCAGGCATCTAATGGCTACTTGTGTCCCATTCTCTAATCTTCCTCTGTGAAGCTGCCAAAACAGAAGTGATGAGTTTAGGAGGTAATACTGAAATTGAATAAAAGCCCAAGTACTCAAGTCAATCATGGAGCTCAACTAAGAGTAACTAACTGTCTAGCTTGGAATATGATCTTATTCCAGAGTAGATAATAGCCATGTTGTCATATGTGACACCCCCTATGCACTTATGCCATTGCAGTAACTATGGGGTTAGTAATGCTCTATTTATTTTGGCGGAAAATGTTTTGCCATGAATTTTTTTTTCGTAGAACAACATTTGGTTGCGATAGTGGTAGTAGGTTGGTGGAGGTGGAGGTGGTGGTAGTGTAATGGCGTTGGTAAGAATTTAGTTTGTCCAAATATGCTTGTTTCCGTGGTCAACTGAATTTTTTTTTCGTTGACTTCCATTTTCTGTTGTATCAAATATAAAAAAATACAGAAAATATTTTCCATAAACATTTGCTGCTGAAAGAAATGGAGTGAAAGTAAAAATAACACCCAAATAGCACAACACTTGTTTGCTAGTTTACTTCTGGTTGTTTTTGTTGCTTGCAGAGAATACATGTAATACTTGAAGGTTAATACCTATACTTACTTTGATTGTGAAAGAAATAAATAATATAGCAACCAAGATGAGAGGAATTTTAACTATGGTATTTGTTAACAAGTGCCCTTGTGACATTGTTTAGCAACCGGATAGGGGTGAAAAACATTTTTGAAAATTGTTAAAAGGTCAGGGGAAAAAAAAGTTCGAAAACAATAAAAAGTGTTTTGAAAGTGATGAAACATGTCTAGCGTTTATCCCATTTTCGTCACTTTCTTGTGCCCTAGGGGCACTTGCTTGCAAGACCCTTTTGACCGTAGTGAACATGGGATCATGTTATATGTTTTGAATGTTACCTTCCCATAAGAACCTTCACCCATTAAGGTAGACTTATCAAAGTTGTTTGTAGCTTCCATTAATTCTCCCAAAGAAAACAACCTACACAATGGCATAACTTCTATGCCTAGCTTTGCTTCTTCAGAAACAAACCCTGAAAAAAAAAGGACACCACTTAAAACTAGGAAGAATTATATTTACAAACTAGAAACAAAAAATTTATAAAAAGAAAAAAAAAAAAAGGTTCAAAGAGAGCTTTTGGCAATGGATGACCACTTACTTGCACTCATTAGGATATCCGAGGAGTAGCCTGTCACAGAATTGTCCTGCACATCCTTATGCAGCAAATGTTGCTCCGACGTTCCTCGTGGGCAGTATTTTCTGCTAACAACAAGAAAGCTGAATGCTAAAAGCACAAAAACTCCGAAAACTCCTCCAATGACACACGCTAATATTACTACATCCTTTGTTTTGGATTCTTTCCTCTTCATGTGAACTTCCACACAAAATGATTCTGGATGCTGATGATGTCCCAAATGAGTTGACAAGCAATTCCCAGCAGACTTAACAACTCTCTTATCTGATGCATTGCTCAAACAAGAAGGCAACAAGCCTCTGAACCTGTTGTTAGATACATCGACAAACTGAAGTTGACTTCCACAAGTCAAATGGGTGGGAACTGATCCACTCAACATGTTTGATGAAATATCCAAATGAGTTATGTTGGGAAAAGAGAAAATTGCAGCTGGAGGTGTTCCTTTTAGAAGATTAGATGAGAGATCAAGGCGTTGAAGCCAAACCAATCGGCTATATTTCCGGGGAATTTCACCAGAGAAGGAATTGTGACTCAAATCCAGTACACATAGGCTAGTTAAGGTAGTTAAATCAGGTAATTTACCAGAGAACTCATTGTTTGACAAGCTTAAATTGGTTAGATTTGGTAGTGAATCAAACCAATGAGGGAAGGTACCATTGATGAAATTTCCATCCAGTTTGAGAGTTTGAAGCTTCACCATTCTAGAAATCTTAGGAGGAACAGAACCAAATATAAAATTTGAACTCAAATCCAAATGTTCAAGTGAATATAATCTATGGATCTTGTCAGAAAGTGGACCCCAAATGCCCAAACAGGACAGGGTAACAGCTCTCAAGCTGGTTAGCCTTGCCAAGGTGGCTACAAAAGAGTCCATAGAGAAGGTCTCTGATAGGGTTTGATTAGGAATTGCAAATCCATGAAAGTTGGTTACTACCCTTTTGGGCTTGTCACCCAAGATTCTGAGATGAGTGACAGAGTTGTCATGGCATGTGATGTCCACTTGTGGAGATGACAAATAGCAATAATCTATGGTACTGTTGTTATACCAAATCTCCAGTTGTTTTGGATACTCCAATTGCTTCCTCAGCTGAAGAAGTATTTGGGTTTGTGAGGACTGTAATTGATGGCTACCCATGATAAAGAAAGTCAAAGAAAGGCATAGTAGTAGGAACAAGCTAGACCACCCCATCAATCCTATCTTTTTTACTTGATAAGGGTAGCTAGACACAACGGTATGGCTTGTTGTTAGTGTTTTTGGTGGCAGGAGTTCAAATCATTGAAACAACCTCTCCCCTAGACCGAGCTCAGGAATCCTATATCTTTCTAATGATTACTTGCTAAGGCTGCTAAGTCCAACAATAAAGCTTGTTGTTAGCGCTGTTGGTGACTCTGGATTCAAAGCATAGAAACAACCTCTCCAAATCCTACTTTAGTAGGAGTTTCGTGCACTGAGTTGTCTATTACTTGAGAAACTAATAAGAGTATGGAAAATATGAAATATTCATGAACCCAATAGCATGTGTTGGAGGGATTGAAGAGATAGTAGACAAGGCTGTTCAACAAGAGAAGGAAGGTTATGCTGCACAATGGCAGACTCAATGAAAGATGGAAAACATAGTGGTGATGAAAACCCAACAAAGATTTAGAGAGAAAGAGAACTGAAAATGCTACCTTTGGAGCTCTAGTGTGAACCTGTGATGCTTTTACAGTGGTGGACTGTTGAACAAGTTAAGCGAACCTTGAACAAACATTTCTCCTGCAATACACAGTAAGACTACTTGTTCTTTGAAAAAAAAATGAAGGGAGAGAGAGAGAGAGAGAGAGATGAGACGCAGCCTGGGCTCTTCTGTTCTGTGATGAAATCTTTAGTGTTTTTCGTTGAAGATTGTGAGATATATATGTACTGAATTGATGAAGTGGGTCTTTTCCCATACGACAGTTGAAAGTCTCTCCCTCTCTCCCTCTCTCTTGTTTAGTTCTCCAACACTGTAGGATTGAGATGTCCAAAATGATTGTATTTTTTAATTTTTTAGATTAAAAAATTGAGAAAAAAATATGATTATTTGTAATAATTTTTTAGTTTTTTATGAAAAAATATGTATTAAAAAATTATATAAATTAATATATTGGAGAAGATTAGGATGAAATAGGCAGTACGGTGAAATAAATTCAGGACAACATGTATGTTAGGATATGATTCTCTGCTTTTTGAGTATTGAATTGGAGTTGTTGTTCGGCCCGTGAGAGCCCACCACAAGTCTTGTTTTGCTAATCAAAATAGGTAAATATGTAGAACTCGTTGAGTACTATATTCTTGTAAAAAATCATGTTGCTCGGATATCGATAGCTATCTGATTGAATTAGTTTTTTTTTCAACCGTTAACTATAACATCATCCATTTTATAAATTTTAACTGATTTGATCATATAGTTACCGATATACGATCAATGCGATTTTTTTTAGGCATATAATACTCGATGAGGTCTACACATTGCACGATTCAGATTATTAAAATGGGACCCATGATGGCCCCCAAGGACCAAACAACACCATGTTATTTGTGCACCTAAATTAGTGCAATTTTTCCAAAATGTCAGCTTCGCTTGTCGGACGTCAGAGTTGTCTGAAATTTAATTATATGTAAAATTAATTTTTTAATATTTTTTTGTAAATAGTGATAACTTTTTAACTCTTTGAGTAATTTTTTGACTTTTTGTCTTTTTTAAGACATGTCAAACCAGGCCTAAATTATTTATTAAGGGGTCATTTGGAAAGCAATAAAATAAATAAAATAAAAAACAAAAAAAATCAATTTTTAACTTTTAATTTATTTTTATTCATATCATTTCTCACATTTTTTATACATTTAATGACAAAAAAATAGTCAACTTTTTACTAACTTTTCAAATCACCCATAAGTATTATCAACAATGATTTAGACCACTAAAAAATACACCACTAATAGCACTAATACATTGGGAATGACAAAAAAATAAATAAATAAAAATACACTACTAATAGCACTAATACATTGAGAATGTCAAAAAAATAAATAAATAAATAAAAACAAGGCATAGAAAGTGGGCGGAGCCCACTGCCATATCATTAGTGCTCCCTCTAGTGATCATTTTTTAGTGCTCCCAAGCATTTTTCAAGTACTATTTACGCTAGAAATTTTTGTATCTTAATAGATATCACAAATATAAATGCAATAATGCTTGAGACCACTAAAAGTGGTGCTCTAAAAGCACCACTAGTGATGTGGCAGTGGACGGGACCTACTGTTTGTGTCTTGTTTTTTTATTTTTTATTTAAAGTGCTTGCCAACTCATTAGTACCACTTTTAGTGAGATGTATCATTACCGATATAAATGTATCCACTATTATTTTTTAAACACTAAACATAAATATAGTGTATTTTATTGTAATATATATCTTATCCACATAAAAAAAAAAAAATACTCGCGCATTCATACAAAATGATGTGAAAAGTATTTATTTTAAATAAAAGGTTCATTAAAATGACATATTATTTAACATATTATTTAACACATGTATGTGACTATTATATGATTCTATTTCTGATAAGATTTTTTTTTATAAAATTTTTGTTTAAAAATTATTTTATTTATTTTCTTTTTCCTTCGCCGTCAAATTCAACTGAGAACAGCAGTGAGCAGAGAACGCTGAGGGGGTGAGGAGTGAGAATGGAGAGGAAAACAGGTGAAGAATGTAAATAATTTATGGTGTTATGGATGGGTTGTAGCATTGTGGTAATGCCTTGGAGTTTAAGTATCATGGTCACAAGTTCAATTCTCCCTTTGGGCCAATCTTCTGGGCGAAGCACTGTTAGTTAGGAGGTTGGACTACTTGGTGTGGGTTCAATGCTCCCCCGCTGTGCGAGTCTTGACTTCTGCGGAGCTTGTCTTAGGAGGTCGGGGCAAGTTCCCAGGTTATAGTCTCCTCGCTCGGAACGGCTAACAGGACACATTGGTGATCTCTGTAAGGGGCGCTGCCTTGGACCTGTGGGAGGGTAGGGAGGATTTTCCTGTAACAAAAAAAAAAAAATAATAACTTTTATAATTTAAAATTGTGAACTATTATTACTTTTAAAAATAATAACATAATGCGAAAAATAAATAACATATCTAGATTAGTTGAGTGATTCAAAATTGATTGAATATAAACCTAGTAATAATGTTAGTAAAAAAAAAAAAAAATTCTCTCTTAACCCTCTTTAAAATATCTTATATCAGAAGAATTGATAGGTGATTTAAAAATACTTTTATAGTTAGAGAGGAGAGGAGTTTTCTTCTTCAATTTTATTCCATTTGCCATCAAAGTAGAAAACTTAAAAATTACTCCATCTATTAATTAAATCAAATAATAGCATATGACTTAAAATATGAAAGGATAATCTTATTGAATTTATAATTCATATTGTCATATGCGAGTCACCATAATAATTAAATAATTAAATTTAATCTTACAAATCTATTATTTTGATTGGTGGTTGTATTTTTATTTTTATTTATTTATTTTTTTTGTTACAAGAAAATCCTTCCTACCCTCCCGTAGGTCCAAGGCAGCGCCCCTTACAGAAATTACCAGGGTGTCATGTTAGTCATTCCGAGCGAGGAGACTATAACCTGGGAACTTGCCCCGACCTCCCAAGACAAGCTCTGCTTAAGTCAAGACTCGCACAGCGGGGAACATTAAACCTACACCAAGTACTGATTAGACAACTTGAAATCCAACCTTCTAACCAACTATGTTTCGCCCAAGAGATTAGCCCAAAAGAGAAAGGAATTGAACATGTGACTTTAGGATTTAAACCCCAAACCTTAACCACAATGTGACCCACGCTTGAGTTAAATGCGGTGGTTGTATTTTATTGCCAAACACATCCTGACTTTGGGCTCTAATCACTGCAGTGTTTTATCTGCTTTGACAATGTATGACGGGTAAGATTGGAAAGAGTACGGCTAATAATACCTCAATTGTTACTTTAAATTTTGGTAAATTACACTTTGTTTCATTTGTGTTTGATCATTTTTTTTATTTTGATTTTTAAAGTTTGTTTTCTCTCATTTTGGCCTTTTGTATTTTAATTTTTTCTTAATTTATTTCTAAAGTTAATTTTTATTTAAAATTAGACAGAAAAAAACACATTAATAGTCATGTAATATAAAAATATTTTATTATATATAAATCATACCTATGATACAAACTCAAATCTCAATATAATAATATAATTTTTATGTTATGTGACAGTTATCATGATATTTTTCTATTTAATTTTAAACAGAAGTTAGCTTTAAGAGTGAATTGAAAAAAAATGGAAACATGAAGAGCCAAAGTGAAAAAAACTAAACTTTAAAGGCCAAAGTAAGAAAGTGACTAAATATAAAGGAGACAAAGTGTATTTTTCCCTTAAAATTTTCATTTGTTTACATCTTTACCTACAAAATTCAAAATTGAGAAATTTACAAAACCCCCCCACATAATATCAAAATTATCTTTCCTACAAAACACCATACCCACCAAGATGCACAACCCTACCACTAGCACAACCCTTCTTAGAAACCCCATACCCTTCCAAGATCCTAACAGTCCACTTCCTTCCAAAACCCCTTCGAAAATCGAGCATCGATGCCAGCAATCGGACTACCGATGAGCTCTCTCGTTAACAATATCTCTCTGCCGATGATTTGTGTGACTAAAAATCGAACACCAATGGTGTCGATCGAATTACTGACGAGCATTCTCACCAATGATCTTTCTCTCACCGGCGATCTTTCTGAAGAAGTTGCTAAATTTTAGACTTGTGTGATTGAACAAATTAGCCCCTTTCGGACCTGTGTCATGAAACAAATTATCCATATTTAAACCTGTGTTACCAAATAAATTATCCCCGTTCAAACCTGTGTTACTAAACAAATTAGCCATGTTTGGACTTATGTTATCGATCAATTTGTACGAAACTGATCTAGCTGGAAAAGTGCAAACTGGTCCAAGGCTTACTAGAGAAGACTTGCCGCCGAAAAAACTTGCGTAGAAGTATTGCCTGTGTGGTTGTGTAGGTTTTTTGATTTTTTACGAAAAAATGTACAGAAAAATAGAGAGAGTGATATAACTTATAATGATTTTTTGACTAAAATATATAATGCCTAAACGAGGCCTAAAATAAGCCACGCTTTGTATCCAATGACATTCAGGACGTGATCAATGAAATTGCTTTAATTTTAAAAATAATATTAATAATTGAACTCAAATTTATGTATTAAGTATTTATTAATTTAGAGAGTGAATTAGTGTTCTAATGGGAAATGGAGTGGTGGTTGCGCGAGGACACAATAGTCTCTATTGTGCAATCATATGGGCTCATTTTGGGATTCGTTTCGATATCCAAACCGTTTATTTTTTAGAGTATATTGAGTATAATATACTTAAAAAAATCAAATTGATCGGATATCGTAAACTATTTCACCGAATTGCAAAATAAATGACAAATGGAATTTGAAGTATAAAACTGAATACAAATGTAAGTGTATGAAAGGGTTATCGATATTCGATCAACTTGATTTTTTGTAGATATGTTCTACTCAATATATTCTAAAAAGTAAACCGTTCGAATTATCAAAACGGGTCCCGAAATAGGGTAATATGGCCGCAACAGCTACCCATCTCCATTCTAATGAAGTAATTAAAATGTAGGTTAAGTGAAAGTAAATTCACTTTAATATATTATAGGAGAATTCTATTATACACATCACATATCATATGTCCTCTTAGTTACATCATTTTCTTCTTTAATTATGGCGATTTTTTTTTTTTTTAGTTATGACATTATTTTTAGTTATTGAGTTACGAATTTTTTGTGTTTTGTTATGATTTTTTTTATTTTTTATTTTGACTCAGAAAGCATGAAATTATACTATTTTCTTTTGTAATTATAAGGTG